AAAAAAAAAAAAGAAGAATTAATACCTATTCTTCTTAAACTGTTCCAGAAAAGAGAAATGGAAGGAAAACTTCCAAACTTATTTAATGAGGCCAGCATTACCTTGATCCCAAAACCAGACAAAGACCCCATCAAAAGGAAGAATTACAAACCAATATCCCTAATGAACATGGATGCAAAAATTCTCACCAAGGTACTAGCCAATAGGATCCAGCAGTACATTAAAAGGATTATTCACCATGACCAAATGGGATTTATTCCTCGGCTGCAAGTGTGGTTCAACATCTGCAAATCAATCAGTGTGATACAGTACATTAATGAAAGAACATGAACCATATGATCCTCTCAGTGTAGAAAAAGCATTTGGCAAAATACAGCATTCTTTCTTGATAAAAACTCTGCCGTGTAGGGATAGAGGGAACATACCTCAATATCATAAAAGTCATCTATGAAAAGCCCACAGTGAGTATCCTTCTCAATGGGGAAGAACTGAGAGCTTTTCTCCTAAGTTAGGTCAGGAAAACTATAGGGATGTCCACTATCACCACTGTTGTTCAACATAGTACTAGAAGTCCTAGCCTCAGCAATCAGACAACAAAAAGAAATAAAAGGCACCTGAATTGGCAAAGAAGAAGTCAAACTTTTACTCTTCACAGATGATGTGATACTGTATGTGGAAAACCCAGAAGACTTCACCCCAAATTGCTAGAACTCATACAGGAATTCAGCAAAGTGGCAGGATATAAAATCAATGCACAGAAATCAGTTGAATTTCTATACACTAAAAATGAGATGGAAGAAAGAGAGATTAAGGAGTTGATCCCATTTACAATTGCACCAAAAACCATAAGATACCTAGGAATAAACCTAACCAAAGAGGCAAAGGATTTGTACTCAGAAAACTATAGAATACTCATGAAAGAAATTGAGGAAGACACAAAGAAACGGAAAAACGTTCTGTGCTCGTGGATTAGAAGAACAAATATCGTTAAAATGTCTATGCTACCTAGAGCAATCTATACATTCAGTGCAGTTCCTATCAAAATACCATCAACTTTTTTCACAGAGCTGGAACAAATAATCCTAAAACTTGTATGGAACCAGAAAAGACCCCGAATAGCCAAAGGAATGTTGAAAAAGAAAACCAAAGCTGGTGGCATCACAATTCCAGACTTCAAGCTCTATTACAAAGCTATAATCATCAAGACAGTATGGTACTGGTACAAAAACAGACACATAGATCAATGGAACAGAATAGAAAACCCAGAAATGGACCTTCAAATCTGTGGTCAACTAATCTTTGACAAAGCAGGAAAGAACATCCAATGGGAAAAAGTCTCTTCAACAAATAGTGTTGGGAAAATTGGCCAGCCCCATGCAGAAGAGTGAGACTGGACCATTTCCTTACACCATACACAAAAATAGACTCAAAATGGATGAAAGACCTAAATGTGAGACAGGAGTCCATCAAAGTCCTAGAAGAGAACACAAGCAGCTACCTCTGACCTTGGCTGCAGCAACTTCTTGCTAGATATATCTCGAAAGGCAAGGTAAACAAAAGGCCAAAATGAACTACTGGGACTTCATCAAGATAAAATGGTTTTGCACAGCAAAGGAAACAGTCCACAAAACCAAAAGACAACTGACAGAATGGGAGAAGATATTTACAAATGTCTTATCAGATAAAGGGCTAGTATCCAAAATCTATAAAGAACTTATCAAGCTCAACAACCAAAGAACGAATAATCCAGTCAAGAAATGGGCAGAGGACACGAACAGACATTTCTCCAAAGAAGACATACAAATGGCCAACAGACACATGAAAAAATGCTTGGCAGCAGGGAAATCCAAATCCAAATCAAAACCACAATGAGATACCACCCCAAATCAGTCAGAATGGCTAAAATTAACAAGTCAGGAAACGACAGATGTTGGTGAGGATGCGGAGAAAGGGGAACCCTCCTGCACTGTTGGTGGGAATGCAAGCTGGTGCAGCCATTCTGGAAAACAGTATGGAGGTTCCTCAAAAAGTTAAAAAGAGAGCTACCCTAAGATCCAGGAATTGCACTACTGGGTATTTACCTCAAAGATAAAAATATAGTGATCTGAAGGGGCACCTGCACCCTAGTGTTTATAGCAGTAATGTCCACAATAGCCAAACTATGGAAAGAGCCCAGATGTCCATCGACAGATGAATGGATAAAGATGTGGTATATATACACAATGGAATACTACTCAGCCATCAAAAAAAAAAAATGAAATCTTGCCATTTGCAGCGATGTAGATGGAACTAGAGGGTATCATACTAAGTGAAATAAGTCAGTCAGAGAAAGACAGTTATCCTATGATCTCACTCGTAGAATTTAAGAAACAAAACAGAGGATCATAGGGGAAGAGAGAAAAAATTTTAAAAATGTAAAAAAATTAAAAAGAAAAGCAAGAAATTGACCAACCAACCCAGAAACCACTTCCATGTGTCCTAATTAAAAAGCCCTTCTCCCCCCACTATTAATCATTATCCTGATTTTTGTAGTAATTACTTCCTTCTCTCTTTAAAATAATTTTATTGTCCAAATGTGTATCCTTAGACACAATTCTTTGTGCTTTTAAGTATCTTTTAATCTGTAAATTCTCTTCTATTCCTTTCCCTTTTTTTATAATTTATCTATTGAAGTTTTAGGCTATTTCTGTGTAGAATTTTTCACATTCTAGCCATTTTTTTTTTTTTTTAAGATTTTTACTTGTCAGAGAGCACAAGCAGGGGGAGCAGCAGGCAGAGGGAGAGGGAGAAGCAGACCCCCCACCGAGCAAGGAGCCTGATGTGGGACTCGATCCCAGGACCCTGGGATCATGACCTGAGCTGAAGGCTGATGCTTAACGGCTTGAGCCACCCAGGCGTCCCAAGTGTAGGTATTTTTTTATTGCATTCTCATGGTACAGTTTAGCATGTTCACCCATGCTCTGTATTGCCTGAAAGTTGGCAGCTGGGTCTAGAGTCTCAATTAAATTCAGTTGTTATTTCTTTGGTAGGAGTATAGGAAGCACATAATGTCTGGTTGTCTCTATTTTGTGATGTAAGCCTCCACTGATGTTTAATACCTGTCTATTAATTGTTGGAGGGCTGCAAAATGCTGATATTCTAATTCTGTCATTTCTTCTTTATTTATTTGTTTGAATGCTTGTATAAAAAGGCACTTATCTAGCTATTATGTGGTTACCTAGTAGTTCAGTTCATACAGGAAAGGCAAGATAAATGCTTGATTCTTTACTGTAATCTACCAGTTTTCAGGATAATGAATTGGTTCCCTCTTAGTCTCCTAAGGTAACCAGTTCCTTTTATAAATTTTTTTCTTTTTCTGAATTTTTAATTTTACACATTGAGTTTGGAAGTTGCTGAGAATCTCAAGAAATCTCAGAAAGGAAACGAAAATTTCTATCAATTAGGACTTTTTATAATTATGCCACTAAAAATCTCACTCTTATAAGTCTATCTTGTATAACCTTAAAGGATAATTACTTGCCTAAGAACTTTGTTACAAAATACCTCTACCTGCTAGTTAGTTCCTTGTGTTCCCCTGTACATATAAGCAAAAAGATACCTATATTTGAGAGCTTATGAGAAAACTCAATGTGAAAATTTTTTGAAGGGAGAATCAAAAATTTTGGTTGTCTGAAATGGCAGTGTGATCTTACCCAGCACTTTCTTCATGCCTCTGACTCTTGGAGGTTATATACAAGTTTTTTTGTCTCAGAACTAGTTCGCAGTAATGCATAGTCAAGGAATGTCAAGATGGCTTCCTTCTTTTTTGTTATAAAAACTTTTTCCAATCAAAAGCAGTTAAAGTTGTTGGTGTACCACTCTGAGTAATTCTAGGGTGCTTGAGCTTACATTTCTCAATGTTTCTAAACTTCCTTTCCCTTTCCCTTTCCCTTTTATATTTCTTTGATCTGGATGACTTCAGTGATTCGTTCTGTTAGCCAGGTGGTTGTTTTTTTTTCCCCCCTTATCTTCAACCAATTTTTCCTTCCTTAATTTCTTAAATAGATTGTATGGTCATATAGTTCAAGCATCATGAAGTATAAAAAGACACATAATGAAACACGTCCAACTCTTATTCCCAATTTGCCTAAGTCCTTTCTCCCTCAATAACCCACTATTTATTAATACTTCAAGGAATTTTTCAAACCAATAGAAATACGAACTTTTTTCTTAACCTTTTTTAATGGACTATACACAAATGTTTCTTTTTCTTTTTTACTGCTGCATAATAATCGACTATATGGGTCGATGTACCATGATTTATTAACTAGTACCAGTACCCTGTTGATATTGTTTCTCATTTTCCCTAGTAACAGTGCTGCAATGAATAAATTTGTACATATGTCATTTCACAAGTGTAAATTCCTAGAAATGTTGTTGCATTTGTAATGTTATTAGATTTTGTCTAATTCTAGTTGTGTCAGTTTATACTACCAGCAGGAACATGTGTATCTGTTTCCCAATAATTTCACAAATTCAGTGTTTTAGCAAACTTAAGGGTTTTATTTTGTTTTTTGTCAACCTGATGGTGAAATTGGTATTGTTTTTATTTAATTTACTTAATTATAAGTGAAATTGGATATGTTTCTAAGTTTAAGAGCTATATATGTTTCATTGTCTGTGACCTTTATGTGCATGTCCTTTGCTCACTTTTTCTACTGTCATTTTGGGCTTTGTATTCACTTCTAGCTCTTAATAAATTAAAGGATTAGCTCTTTGTCATATAAGTTACAAATATATTTTCCCAGACTGTCATTTTTTTTCTTTTCACTCTACCCTTAGTATTTAACAGAGTTTATTTTTACTTAAATTATATTGTACTTACAAGTCCTTAAACTTAGTACATACTTTTGAGATTTTAATAGGCAATATTTTTTCCTTGATAATTCTTCATTCTTCTTAGTTCAACCTGAGAAAGGGATTTGAGGTGGCTGATGTATTACTGCCAGGATACACTCATAAGGCTTTTTGGAAGTTCTAAGATTCAGGCAGATCATGATTTCAAAACTTTGGCAATAAAAACATGATGCAGACTAAATGACACCCTTTACTGTTTAAGAGGAGACATTTAGCAATATAGTATAAGTCTTTTATTTATCTTAGTCCTCAGATAAATTTTGACATCTCTTTATTCTTATTGTTTAAGTTGTGGTAAAATATATGCAACATAAAATGTACTATTTCAGCCATGTTTAGGTGTACAGGTCAGTGGTGTTATTAAGTGCATTCACATTGTTGTGCAACCATCACCTCTGTCCATCACCACCATCCATCTCCAGAACTTTTTCATTTTACTAAACCAAAACTCTGTACCCATTAAACAGTAACTCTTCATTCTCCCTCCTTCCAGCGCCTGGCAATCCCCACTCAATTGTCTGTCTCTATGAATCTGACTACTCTAGGTACCTCATAAAAGTTGGAATCATACAATATTTGTCGTTTGTGTCTGGCTTATTCATTTAGCATAGTGTCTTCAGGGTTCATCCATGTTGTAGTATGTATCAGAATTTCATTCCCTTTTAAGACTAAATGATAATCCATTGTATGTATGTACTACATTTTATTTATTCGTTTATTCACTGATGGAGTTTGTGTTTTGTCTTTAACAAGGTTGTTAAATAAAATGTATTTTATACTAAATGATGTTTTCTTTTATATACTCAGACAGATTCTTTCAAAATGGGACAAGAGTTTGTGAAACGCTTCCCTATCAGTGCAGACAAGCTAACTAACCTTAATGTGGTTTCTAGAACTTTAAATTTAGATATGACAGACCAAGTTGTATCCCAAAAACCTAGTGAGTGCCATAAATCTAGTAAAACATCCATCAGTGCCACATCAGAAAGACTCTTGTTGCAAGATACCTCTAAGATGCAGTGCTTCAATCAAACGCTTTCAACCAACAAAAGTAATTATACAAGTTGCAATCCTCAGTCATATCACCTACTCAGTAAAGAACAAAGAAGAAACAATCTTCAGAAAGAGTCTTTAATATTCATGAAAGGAGTCATGGATGAATGTACTCATGTGGCAAATTTCTCAGGTACCAATTTTTATGTGAAATTAATAATGTTTGCTGATGTGTAAATATTTGTGAAATATTTTTAAAGATGCTTTACAAAATAATTTCATATTTTCAAGAATATGTTTATTGTTCACTCCAGAATGTATTTTCCAGGATAAGTTGGTTATTTAAATGTGTCATATTGGGGTGCCTGGGTGGCTTAGACAGTTAAGCATCTGTCTTTGGCTGAGGTCATGATCTCAGGGTCCTGGGATCGAGTCCTGCATCGGGCTCTCTGCTCAGCGGGGAGTCTGCTTCTCCCTCTCTCTCTGCTGTTCCCCCTGCGTGTGCTCTCTCTGTCAAAAATAAATAAAATCTTAAAAAAAAAATAAATGTATCATATTTTATCCATGAAAACCTAAAACCATCTTATTAGTTAAAACTATATTGGATTTTGTTTGGGGCAGGGGATGCGGTAACGGGCTGATGGACATTGGGGAGGGTATGTGTTGGAATAAGCACTGTGTATTATATAAGACTGGTGAAGCACAGACCTGTACCCCTGAAACAAATAATACATTATATGTTAATTAATTGAATTTAAATTTAAAAATATATATTGGATTTTGTATCTTCTTTAGAATGTTCATCTCATTGTATTAGAGATGAATATTATGATATTATGCTATATTATTGTTGATTTTTAACTTAATCATAAAGTTTTAGGGGCACCTGGGTGACACAGTCGGTTAAGCAGCTGCCTTCAGCTCAGGTCATGATCTCAGGGTCCTGGGATCGAGCCCCAGGTCAGGCTCCCTGCTCAGTGGAGGGTGTGCTTCTCCCTCTCCGTCTCCCCCCGCCACCCCCTGCTCCTTGCTAGTCCATGCTCTCTCTCTCCCTCTCTCTCTCTGAAATAAATAAATAAATAATCTTTTTAAAAAAAGTTTTAGTTTGACAGATGTTTCACTTAATGTACTGTCAAGTGTATTTTATTTTCTAATATGATTAATAGTATTTATATAAAAATCTTCGAGCTTTTTTAAAGGTGTATATGTTGTATCTTTTAAAATTCTATCCCTAGTTCCAGTTGACCCAAGTCTCATTATAGTGGTTCAAGCCAAAGAAGATGCTTATATTCCACGAACAGGAGTTCGAAGTTTACAAGAAATTTGGCCTGGTTGTGAAATCCGTTATCTAGAAGGGGGTCATATTAGTGCTTATCTTTTTAAACAAGGACTCTTCAGGTAAGATGATTGGTCTAAACAGGTATCTGTTTATTTGCTTGTTTTTTGGAATATTTTTGCCTCAAAAAAATAGAGAAGATAGGGTATTTTTATTTTATGTTTTAGTCTTCTTTTTTCTTCCCTGCCTCCCTCAATTCTCACATTGTGGTACTTTTTCCTATCCCATCCTCTTCTGTTTTCTTTTAAAGAACTAGGGAAGTAGCATATATAGGCACATTTTATTGTGTGTTTTTATCCTCTTCAAATATTAATAGCCAGGTATTTTAGAGTATAGGGAGGAATACCAGGGTTTGTAAAACTTGCTTTTTGACTTCTGTCTTCTGTCAGATGGCATGAGCATCTATGGAATAGTCCAGCGCTGTTTTTCAGTAGCAAGTGAATACTGAACCTTAAATGAGAAGTGAAATATTGGATGTTAATAACCTTATATGACTCCAGTACTTATTAGAAGTTATAAAAACGTTTATTCTATAACTCTAGTTTTTTGATAGCCTATATTATTTCTACTTCTCTTCAAATTTGATGGCAAAAGCTATCATTGGGATATATTTATCATTAATGGTTAAATAAATTCGTTCACATGAAGTGCTTAGATCAGTGCCCTGGGCAGATGTGTCTCAAAACTGCCAGCTGTATCTCTGTATAACAGAAGAATTGTGTGTATTATATGTCTGACATGTTTTAGCTCTTTTTAATCCAAGAAATAATTCTTTGTACATTATCACTCATTTAGTTCATTTAGTTAAATAACCAACTTTTAGATGTCACCTTTAAGTGTCCAATTAAAATATTAAATACTAATATATTAAATATATAAATATATTTAATATTACTAATATATTAAATATATATTAAATAATATAAATATATTAAAACACATATTAATATTAAATACTAATATAGTAAAACATTCCGTGAAGGTAATATTGGAAACTAAGGCTTTTGCTTTTAGTTCAGTTGCTAGGAACATGTGTTCTTCTGGACAAAAAGCATCCTTATCATAATTTATGAAATAGGTTGAATACTACATTATGAAAAGTTATACAGCCAATTAATTTTCAACAAGTCACATACATACATATATATTTTATATTGCATATATATATTATATAAATGCATATATTATGTAAGTTCTAAGGCACAAAAAAAGTGCGTCACAGAAAAAGGATGGTACTTCTGAATTCATCATCAGTTGAAAGCACATTTGAGGTTTTCTGCAGCTGTGATGAAGTTACACGGATCCAAACACCCACCCTTAGGTACCTGCCTCTTTCAAAGCTATTTGGAGAAGTCAGGTTGCAAGCCACAGGTAACTTTGGAAGTAACTTATAATAAAAGTACTGTCTTCCTTTTTTGCTCATTACTTATAGTTCTTCTTTCATCTTTAATTTTAGACGAGCCATCTATGATGCATTTGAACGCTTCCTCCATAAATACGCTAACTAATTGGATCACTGTATGTAACCAGTATGGCCATCATGTTTCTTACAAAAGGAGTTTTTCATCCTTTAATGATAAGAAGAACAAGCAGCACTATATATATAACTAACTGCTATCAATTTAGTCTGGAATTCATTGTTATGATCAGTCAACAATGATCTTTAAATACATGTGAATAATTTTAAACCAATATTTGGATGAAATAATGTTGAAGTATTTTGTTATTGTTTTGTGGGAATCCCATATACACAATATCCAGTCTGTTGTTACTATTTATGAAAACTGTAAATTTTTAATCGTGAATAATTTATTAATTAAAATACATTTATTCATAGAAACCTTATTGGTTTTTAAAGAACTGCTAAATCAAGCTAAGTTTGTAATACATCAGCATGTATTGTATGCCCTTGTATGATAGTTTTACTATTGACTTGGTTTGAGAACATGTTTCTTTCTCGTCTTCAACTTTAATTTCTGCAATGGCAATACTTTTTTTTTTTTTTTAAGATTTTATTTATTTGACAGACACAGCGAGAGAGGGAACACAAGCAGGGGGGTGGGAGAGGCTTCCTGCTGAGCAGGGAGCCCGATGTGGGGCTCGATCGCAGGACCCTGGGATCATGACCTGAGCCAAAGGCAGACACTTAACGACTGAGCCACCCAGGTGCCCCTGCCATGGCAATACTTAATGATGTATAAGATCAGTGTTAACTTTGAATTCTAAAAAATCCTGATTGCTTCCTACTTAAGTACCTTTAATAATTAAAACAAATGTGGGAATGCAGATAAGATGCATATGACTTGGCTGAACTTTAAAACTTTGCCAAATACGAGGTTAGAAAATGATGCCAAACATATTTCCCGTACTTAAGAAGTTTCAATTCATGAAATATGGAAATAATGAAAGACCTATTACATTACTTGATACTGTGTCTTATCATTTTCTTATATACCTACTCTGGGTTTGCTAAACATCTAACTTTAGTTAGATATACTTAATAGCTTTGGCTTTTTAATTTCAGAAATTAAATATGAAATTGATTTGTTCCATATAACTTCATTTTACAGAAAATATATAATAACTACTAACTTTTTTAAATGGAAGATTATATGGTTAGATTTGGTGCTTTTTATGTTAAACTTCTCAAGCTAAGATCTAAAATGTTTGAAAAAAGTAGAAAATATTTTTGGGAATTGTATCAAGGTTTGGAATAAATGTATTTGAGTTTTATTTGTTTGAAATCTGTGTTGTCTATGGATTATTTTAAAATATGTATTCCTGATCTAGCAAGGATATTTGAATTATGTGCCTTCATAGCTTTTTAAAAGATTTTATTTATCACTCTAATGTCTCCATCACTTTAACTTTTTAAAAATTATTTCAAAGTCACTAATGTGATGTCATTGATGGTATACAAAATTGTAAATTCTGTAAAACTGCTTTGGCATAGCAAACCAGACCTATTTGGTTACAGCCATTTGGCCTATAGCAATTTTATATCTTTAGACTAGAACCTTTACTTTTAACTGAAAGTATAAAATGTACTAAAATTCTTAAACAAAATACCCTTTAAAGATAAAGTAAGATTTATTGTCAAATGAATTACAAGTATTTTCTTAGTATGTAGTGAGGCAATATGATTGAATGTTTTCTGAATTATACCTTAGTAAAACCAATATTTATTTTTTACCTAAATATTTCTTACTAAGCAGTAATGTACTGTGGTGTATGACTTTCTGTTGGTAAAAGAATGAAATTTCATTTCATTTTAATTAACTTTTAGGCATAACTCATTTTTTCCAAATGTGAAAGGAAGTATTTTAAAAATTTCATCTCTTAACCAGATGTTTTTAAGAATATTATCCACGCAACTTCCTAAATTGATTAATTCAAGGTGCAAAATACCTTTTCTTAAAGTTTTTATATCCACTTATCCCAAAATAGTGACTCAAACTTTCTATATATATATATGTATATATACACATATATATAACGTTATGTATATGTATATAATGTGTAAGGTATATACGTTATATATATAACACTAATAGTTATATATATAAGTGTTATATATATATAATAGTTATATATATATAAAGTGACAACATATGTATTTTAAAAAGTGCTGTCTGCCATTTTGAGAATTGCGTACATAAACTGCTAAAAATTCATTTAGGCCAGAGCTGCAAACTGGCAGTCAATACAGGCCAGCTTGGCCCACAGCTGTTTATTCAGTGTGCATAATATTTCAAAATTGTTTGAATTTGAAAAATCTTTTGACTGGGCATGCATTCCCTAGTTTGCCACAGTCTGCTAGACTCCCTTTTTTATCAGGCTACTTCACTACTTTGTGTTTCCTTCTTAGCCTTGAACACATCTGAGTTTGAGAACCCTGATTTAGATCTGTGGTTATAAAAGTTTCTGAATTTCATGATTTGCTAATGTTGTAATTACTATTAATTATTTTAACATATGAATGAATTTTAGATTGTTATGAATGTAATTTTTTAATGTGGTGCTTTCTCTCATAAAGATTATTGAATTAACATTGTAACTGAAAAGTTTTTAAATCATTTCCAGATATTTTATACTTAACAATAAAAGTCTATATAAAAAGTTAATTATTTCATATATTCAAGAAGATTTATTCTGAATACAGAATACATGTGTCACATTTGATTAATGTATCCAAACTTGAATTGAGTGTGTGTTCTTCCTTAGTTCTATTATAAACCAAAGTAAGGCAGAAAGAAGGGAGGCTCTAGCAGAATAGTATTCAGTATCTGCAACAAGAGCCAGATTTCTCCCCCAAATATGTGTGATCCCAGGGAAACTAGCATTCTGACAGACCATACTTATCTGAATGTTGTATAATTAGATATAATTCTTGGATATAATTAGATTTATGCTAGTAAATGTTATAAGCAATTAAAATCTAGAGATAACTATAGGACTGAGAATGGGGATGCTGGGTAGAGGCCGCTATAGAAACTGAGTTTGGAAATGAAAGGTTTTGGCAAGTGAGACAAAGGGAATAGAGGTACATTTGGACCGTTTTTGCAGGAGTAGAATAACTTAATTCTAGGAATATTCTTATAGGCAGAATCCTAGGAAGCCAATGATTTCATGAAGAACTTTGAAAACATTTTAGAAAATTTTGGACCAAAACCCAGAAGGATTTTCCTCAGGACCAAAGGAGCTAATGTGCAGATTCACCAGATTGTGTTAATTTAAAAAGAAAGGTAAACTTACCATGAAAAGTCTTATTACTTTATACAAACTGGTGAGTGACTGAGGTGTAACTGTTTTCCTATATAATGTACTGGATAATTCCATAGAAATAAAGTTGTATCCTAGCACTGCCATTCAAAGTGTGGACAGTAGACTGGCAGCATCCTCTGAGATCTTGTTAGATATTTAGAATCTCAAGCACCATCAACCTTACTGAGTCATAATTTGCATTTGAATAAGATGATTCAACTACACATTAAATTTTCAAAAACACCCATTTAGAATCAGTGGTACTCATATTTTAACTTGCATTGAAATCACCTGGAACTTTG